AGGTCCTCGAAAAACACCTGCACGACTTTTCAAAATTTCCACCCGCGCGCGCTGTACTTTTTTCTCTCCTGAAAGGTGCTGCGCGAGACCACGTGGTTCGCGACCGCAGTGTATTTTCCGTGTATGTGGCAGGGACTCACGGGTGTATGCCTGTGTGTGTCGACCGCGGAGAGCACGCGCCGTTCAAAGGAGAACGCTATGGTCGAGAACCAGCGGCGTATGGGAGGCATCGAGACCCCAGAGTGGATGGCGTTCGCTGTATACTTCTACCCTGGCTTGGTATTCGGCAACTTTGATGGTTTCAAAGATCCAGCCGCGCAGTATCTGGGCACACTTGCGGAAGTATTCAATCGGCTGTGCACCCAAGCTGGTATAGCGAACTGGAGTTCGCACGTATTCGTCCGACCCGGCGGCTGGGTGTATGCTGGCTTGCGCAGGCTGTTGCAGCTCCTGCGTATTCACGTGCATTCCGAGGTGGTATCAGGTCTGTCATACAGGCGCATGGCGAGCCTGGATGTATTTGTGGCAACACACACGGCATCCATGGGCATGGAGCCGCCATGTATGGCTCTGTGGAATGCCTCCCACGACGTCAAGGATGGTATCACCTTGTTCCCGAAGCAGGATCATTGGTGGCACATGCCTGTATGGCGTTCTTTCGGGCAGTCCGGGTATGGGAATGTCATGGATTACCGTGTGGATCTGGGTATGCCGGCGCATGTCCAGGGCGTCCTGGCGGTATTGGCGGCCCGCGGGCGCACGGGCGATGTGTCCGCGAGGAGGCGTATCGGCACCGTGCTGGGACACTTGGCCCCTGATGTATGGGTGCCAGGAGCGCAGCTTGCAGTATTGCGCCCGATGCGTGCCATTAGGGACAGGCGCATGCCAGAAGACGATGAGCACACAGACTCGTCTCTTTAGTATGCTTCCAGAGCACGTATGCGTCCGCCTCGCCTTGTCCTGCTGCTCCTCCTCCTCCTCCTCCTCCGGCGGGGCGCCCATGGGGACAACCATCGGGGCCACCATCGGAACAACCATCGCGGCAACCGTGGGGACAACCATCGGGACAACGATCGGGACAACCACAACCATCAGGACAACCATCGGGACAACCATCGGGACATCCATCGGGACAACGATCGGGACCACCATCGGGGCAACCATCGGGAGAACCATCGGAACAACAATCGGGACAATCATCGGGACACTCATCGCGACAATTATCGGGACAACCACAACCATCAGGACCTCCAACCAGAGAGAGGTAGTCACGTGTATTTCGTCGACGAGTGAGCCAGTATTGCACATTGAGGCCGGAACGAGAACCACAGAACAAGAATGAGCATATATCGTCTCACAACAACGGAAACAAGTCCTGTGGTATGCTGGCGCCACGCACGTGATACCAGTCAAAATAAGGGTCTTGGCTTGTGTGGTACAGAAACGTTAAAACGTCGGAAAACGGTACACGTGCCCATTGTTGGAACAGGGGTATAAGTCGTATACTAAGCTAGTTTCCACAAGATGTTACCACAAGAAGTCATTGTAACCATGCGCCAGTGTAGTAGCCAAGGTCGTCCGCAGGCCACGAAGTGAAGTGTCCGAACGTCATAGGGCGGGAAGCTGGGTGTGGGTGGTGGCGAAGAGTCGTTTGGAAACTTGGTAAAGCTTGAACCGGCCCCCCCACAAAGTGGGGGTATTGCCCGCCTCCTATGAAAACCCTGGCACTGGTGAGAACGGAGTGTCCCCAGTCTTAAATGATTGTTGTTGTTGTTGTTGTTGTTGTTGTTGTGTTTTTTGAAGCGCCACCCGCACTTGCGGTGGCGTAGGTGGCAGTCCGCTCCCTGGGTCGGCACGGAGGCGACGCCCGCCCGATCCAGGTCGGCGGTGGCGTACGTGGCATGTGGCGCGCAGCTGGACTGCTCGTCCTGAACTTGTCGAGGAGGAGGAGAAGTTCCGATCTGAGTCTAGCTGGATCGCCTTCGCCGCACAGAGCGGTGTCCGCCCTATTGCGTGCGCCTCCACCTTCGCAGGGTTGCGGAAGAGGAAGAGGAAAAAAGGAGCAGGAGGAGGCGGAGGAGGAGGAGAGGGAGGAGGAGGAGGGGCAGGAAGAGGAGGAAGACTAGTAATGTTAACAAGAAGAAGAAGAAGGAAACTACGGGGCAGGGTTTGGGATGTCTCGGGTGCTCCATTGCCTACTAGAACTTCAGCGGGGGTGCTCAAGAGCTCCAGGAGGAGCGGTGGGAGGAGGGCCAATCCTCCGCCTCCGTCTCCTCCTTTTCTTGCTTCATCTCTTACTCTTCGTTCTCCTCCTCATCCTTCTCCTGCTCCTCCTCCCCATCCTCCTCCAGATCGCCGACCGCTGCTAATTTTCAAGTCCGAAACATGTTCCTCATCTTTCTCCTCCTTCTCCTTTTTTTCGTTGCGTGTGCCCTCGGCCCCTGGCGTGTCAACAATGGCCCGCTGTCATTTCCTCCTTCTTCTAGGAGGGGAGGACCAACATCCAGAACATCTGGGAAGCGGACGGCAAGCCAGACATCCAGAACACATGCAAAGCACGGGGGATTCTGGGATTTGTGTCTATTTATGCGTCTGTTTTGTGCCGCCGGTTCTGGCCCACCGCGCCTCTGCGCGACACGCCATCCGCATCATGGTCCCTGAGCGTCAACTTCCCGAGTTTTCCCGGGCCTCTCGCCCCGCGGACCGGAGTGACACGCTATCCGCTCGCAGGGCATAGCGTGTCGCTCGGGCCGCCGCCGCGACTCGCGGAGCAACAGTGCACGGCCGCAATTTGTCAACGCCACGTTAAGACATTTGTAACCTGCAGGCAACTTCCTAAGCGCGTCCCAAAATATGGGAGACTCCTCTGGCAAGTAAAATCATGTCAGTGTCGGCATATACGCGATAATTTTTAGAATTGTCTAGCAGACTGCAGAAACAGCAGAGCTTGTTACAGTACTGCTGCGCCCGCTCCCTTTCTCTTTCAAATCGAAAAGCACACACACACACACACACACACACACACACACACTGCAGACACTTCAGAGACAATGTGGAAGCAGGCGAGGGCGGCCAGAAGCTTCCACCATATTCTCGGCCCTTCCAGAACATGGGGGATGTTTCCCAGATCTACCAGCATCACCCGCTTGGCTGATCAATGGCATCTCCTTCGCTGAGGCCACGGCTCCCGCACAAATGCCCCAATGCGAATGTGCACGGGCAGACTCCCAAACGCGGAGCGCGCGCACGACCTCGGCGACTTCCGAGAGCCAGCCGAAACCGCCGAGCACCTCTAGGAACCTCTGCCACGCCCAGACCTCCGACGGCGTGACGCCAAAGGCTTGCGCCTCCTCCTCCTCTTCCTCCTCCTCCTCCTCCTCCTCGTTCTGCTCCTCCTTTTCCTCATCCTCCCCTGACGTTTCGGACCTTCGTCGGGCTACGCGCCGACCTCGGGACCTCGGGTCGCCCTCTGACTCTGGTGATGGTCTTTCAGCGCTCTGTGCGAAGGCGGGTGAAGCTCGACCCCATCGTCTGCGCGCGTACACCCGACGCTTCGCTGCCGTGCGCGACTCTCGGCCCTCTCTGAGTGCCACCACCGCCGTGCCAGCGCAGACTATGCCCGACGGTGGGGATCGTACCCCCCTGCTGCCCGTGGCCACAGGTGCTGGGTCTCTCCAGGGCATGTTGTGCTGTGCGTGCGGTGCGGGTTTTAGACCACTGGCACCGCGGGGCACCTGCTCATAGGCTGCCAGCCCGTGGATTCAAGCAGGACGTCCGAGCGTGCCGTGGGGAATCCCAAGCTGTTCTTTGAAGGTCGGCATCCAGTCGACGAAGGGAGGCCCAGCGGGCGCTCCATTCCGAGACCCAGGCCCCTCCTGGCCACGGATCTTGAAACGCGTTGGTTCCGCATCGGCCGCCGAGAAACCTCGGACCCCCAGTGGTTTCTCTTTCTTTACTTCTTGTTTCGGGTGTCCTGGGGCCCTCGGTCTGGGCCCTTCCATATTCCATATGGCGATCGGCGCAGGTGCGAGAGATGTGCGCTTAGCGCACCCCGCACCTCACTATTTCTCGCGAACGACCTCATTGTTGCTGAATCTGGGCGCGCTCCCCGAGATCCGCTGGTGGGGGAGTGCGCCACTGACAGATTCCCGGGAGGGGCTCCCGCCCTTCCCCTTATACTGAGCCCACTAGGCACCCACTTGAGTGCGGCAGTTGCCAGCCAGTCCCGTATCTTCCTCCTCTTCCTCCGCTTCCGTTTCCACCTCGTCCTCCGCTTCCGCCTCCTCCTCCGCCGCCTCCTCCGCCGACCCCAGATGATGAGATTTGCGGCTTGTTGGTTGAGACTTCCCGCCGCGTTGCTTGCGTGTGGTGGGTTCCCATTGTCATCCGCGCGTCTGCTGCGGGGGCTTCTGGTGGGGACAATGGTGTGTAAGTTTCCCCTTTTGGGCTTGTCAGGCCCCTCGTGGGGCCCCGCTGAGGGCTTTTTGTGGGGCCGTCTCGTGGGCCTCTCGAACAGCTTGGGGGGGCCGTCTTCAGCCATCTTCAAGCCCTTCTGGGGGCCTCTCGAGTCTTGTTCCCGAACATCCTGTGGTGTTGGGTCCTCGCTTCGAAGAGATGGTCCCGTCGTTCCTCATGCCTCCTCTCCTCCCTCCTCCCCCTCCTCCCTCCTCCCTGCGTTTCGCCCACCCAGTACAGCGTTCCGTTGCCCCATAGGGAACTCCACCGAAGGTCCCAGTGGGACCGCCCGCATGCGTCCCCCAAACCCAATTTGGCACACCTCTCACACGTTTCGTGGCACCATGGGGAGCTCCACCGAAGCCCCCACCAGTGGAACCGCCCGCAGGCGCCCCAAAAATCCAATTTGGCACACCCCTCACGCGTTCCGTGGCCCCATAGGGAGCTCCACCGAAGCCCCCAGTGGGACCGCCCGCACGCGTCCCCAAAACTGAATCTCGCACACCCCTCAAACGCTTCGTTGCCCCATAGGGAGCTCCACCGAAGCCCCCAGACGGACCGCCCGCACGCGTCCCCCAAACCAAATTTCGCACACCCTTCACACGCTTCGTGGTCCCATAGGGAGCTCCACCGAAGCCCTATTGGGACCACCCGCATGCGCCCCCCAAAACCAATTTTACACACCCTTCACGCGCTTCTTGGCCCCATGGGGAGTTCCACAGTAGGCGCCAGTGCCACCGACCGCATGCGTCACCCACACCCATGTCGTCACACTCTCACACGTTTCGTGCCCCCCAAATCCAATTTGGCGTTCCGTGGCCCCATGGGGAGCTCCACAGTAGGCGCCAGCGCCACCGCCCGCATGATGGGTGTGACGACACGATGCCGTCACACCCCATCCAACGTTTCGTGGCCCCATAGGGAGCTCCAACGAATGCCCCGGTGCTACCGCCCGCATGCGTCACCCACGCCCATTTTTGCATACCCCTCACGCGTTTCGTGGCCCCATAGGGAGCTCCACCGACGGCCCCAGTGGCTGCGTTCGCATGCGCCCACCGCACCCATTTCGGCACACCCATCACACGGTCGCGGCCCCATAGGGAGCTCCACCGATGGCCCCAGTGGCTGCTTTCGCATGCGCCCACTGGACAAATTTTGGTACATCCCTCACACGTTTCGTGGCCCTACAGGGAGCTCCACCGGATGCGGTGCATACAACGACGGTACTGACAACTGCATATGGTTGGGTCCTTCGCCAGGCTAATTTAATTCAGAATCGCTTTAGTGAAAAACATATAGGGAAAACCCGTTTAATATTTTGATCTTTTCAATGCCCAATGCCATAAGGGAAATCAATGACTGTGGCCTCTTGAGGCCGTCTGTTGGGTCCTCTTGGGCCCCTCTCCTGGGTACCTTCCCAGACGCCTCGGGCCGTCCTGCAGGCCATCCTGGATGATCTCTGGGCGCCTCTCTGGCGCGGTGGAGCCCTTTTTGAGCCATCGTTTAGACTGCACCTCGGGCATCGCGTCGTCTTCGTCGCAGTCGTTGTCGTCGTCGTCGTGGATTTGGAGGTTCTGCGGGCCAGCACGGTGCGCTGGGGAGCTCGTGCGCCCCTTCCCCCCTCTCCTCTAACCGGGATTGTGGGCCCTATGGGACAGTGGGAGGGGGTCTCACACGCCTTTTCGGCCTTGACAATTGGAGACATGTAGATTTCGACACCTCGCGGACCACAGAGGTTCCGACCATGCCCCCAGCACCAGCTTTGCATCCAGAGTCGTCTCTGACATCCTCGGAGCCTTTACCAATACTGATCCAGGGTTCGCCAATTCGCCAACCAGGTGTTAGGCTGACCAACACTTAACACCAGGCTGGCGCCTCAAGCGAACCATCTTTCCCTTTGCTGACAACTTGACACCGGGCCAGTACACCTTCGCTAATTGCTTCTTGAGGGGCCCGGTGAGGACCCCCTGCGCAGGCGGAAGCTTGAGGCCCGCCGTCGTGGGGCCTTCCACGAGTCGTCTGCGTCCCTGGCCCGTTCGCCTGCACCGGCTGTGTGTGGAGGCGCGCACACTGTGGCAAGGGGAGGGGGGGAGGCCTCTTGGAAGGAGGCCGCTTCTTAGAATGTTCGCTGGCCCTGCATCTGCAGAGAAGGCCCGCGCCTTCTAAGAAGCAGGGATGTCCCCAAGAAGCCTCCGCGCGCCGCCAAGGTGTCGTGAGAGTGCGAGCCTGCTCCCAGGATATCCTCAAAGCCTACGCGATCTGAGGCTTCTCTGGCCGTCCTGCGGCCTGCCGTCTCCTCGCCCCTCGTCCGCCTGCTCTCCCCTGCGGCTCCGTGCGCAAGAAGGGTGCGTCTCGCCGTTTGCTGGACTGCTTGTTTGAACCATGGGAAGCCGACCCCAGCCCCCACAACAATGAATTGTAGATGTCAGCGTTTTTGTGCAAGTACGGCGGCCGTGCGCAGGTGCAGACGCCCCGTATACGCGAGGCCACTGCCAGCTGCTGCAGGGGGGGAGCCCCGCTCGCGGGCGGTCCAGTTGGTCTAAAGTTCCTCATGTGGCGGGCGGGGGCCTGCTTTCATGCTTTCGTTCAGAGCGTGAATCACCTGCCCCGCTTTCGCTTCCGGGCAAAACCGCGTCATGCCACGCGCCTCCTCGTCGGGCGGCCCGACCAGTACGGGCCGCAGTTCGGCGTCGCTCGGTATCTCTGGGAAGCGAGGGTGGTCAAAAGCGAGGTGGGTTTGTTTGCCCCCTATTCACTGCTGGGCCCAAGTCGCCGCCGACCCGCGAGCTCGCTCCACGGGGCGGGGAGGCCGTGGCCCTTCCAGCGTGGGCGCCCACCGCGGCCGCCCCGGCCCGAGCCGCGGCCCCCGCAAGAGGTGCTCGCAGCAGCCTCCTCGCCCAGGAGGCGCCGCGCTCGGGGCCGCCCGGGGGCCCGCAGGTGGCCCAGCATCTGGTTCTGGTCCGCAGGAAGGTTCGGGCGGGGTTTCTGGGCTGTCTCCTCTTCTGCCTCGGGGGGGGAGGGGCGGGGGGCGCTTTCGAGGCCCAGGACCGTCAGAAGCGGATCTCCCGGGGGAGGGATTCTGCCAGACGAGCCACAGGAGGGGTCAGGGGGGCAGACTTTGAGCGGATTCGGGGCTATTCAGGAGGAAGAAGCACACAGACACAATGAGTCGTCGATTCTCAGGGACATATGGGAAAAGATGGAGAGTGGGGGAAAGACGAAAGCCCAGAACATATGAGAAAATATAGGGACGTTTGGGATTTGTGTATATTCATTTGCGTGTCCCGAGGCCCCTTTTACTTTTCAGCCTTCCTGACCGATTCACTGGGGTCCCCCCGACCAGCTCAGATCTCCTGGCCGCCTCCAGCGCCGCGCCGCGCTTCCCCGCGCGCGCTACCCACGGGCGCCAACCCCCTTGATGGCCGCCGCCGCGATGTGGGCGCCCTCGGCGGGGCCCTCAGCGGCGCTTGACGACGCAACACGACGACGACGACGACGACGACGACGACGACGACGACGACGACGACGACGACGACGACGACAACGAGGACGATGTCCACGCCGAACGACCACTGCGGCCGCTGCCACTGGCGACGGCGGCGCCCGCGGCAGCGGACGGCAGCGGCCACGGTGGCGGAGTTTCGTTGTTGTGGCTTTCTCCAGCGATCGGCCTCTCGACTGCTCTGCGGGGCTTCGCCCTCGCTGGCCCCCTTCGGGCAGGGCGCGGGGCCGGTCACGGGTCGACGACGGCGCCAGATCCAAATGTCCGACGATCTGCCTGGCTCAAGCCTGGCCTTGTTCCTCGAGCCACATCCTGAGTGAGCCCAGGACGAGCAAAGGGCCCTAGGAGCGGCCGGGAGCTTTGGGGCTCGGATGGAGAGAAGCACACCGTCGGAAGTTCGGGGGCGGGAGGGGGCCAAGCCTCCCAGGGAGCAAGCCGCCAAGACCCCAAGCCGCCCAGGGAACAGGCCGCCAAGACCCCAAAGCCGCCCAGAGCCCCTCGTCGTGCCGTGGGCAGCGCACGACGGGAAGCTCCTGATCCTGCCCGTGGCGGCCAGGGGCCCCTGCCGGGTCCAGGTGCGAAGGTGGACTCCTTGGGCGTCGCGTGGTGGGGTGGCGGTACTTTCGGGGGGAGGGGCAGCGAGGGCTGCAGCAAAAGGAGCCCTTCCGGGGTCCCTGAAGCAGCCGCTCGGGGCTCAGAAGGGGGCCTCCTATGGGCCCGAGAAGTGCTCCCCCTTCCAATCTATCGCCCCCTTCACGAGGCGAAGCCCAGCAGGCGCGGGGCAGAGCCTGCCAGCGTGAGTCCTCCGCGGAGCGGGCACGCCTCAGGGCCCCGGGGAGCTCCAGGATTTGTCAACACTCTCCGCCTGAGGCCTGGGGAGGTGGGCGCAGGCCTCCTAGATGGGGTCGGAGTAGATGGGGTCGGAGGGTCGCGCCGCATCGCCGATGCATCGACGATGCGGCTCGATGTGGAGCCCGATTTCCCCCACGCCGACATCGCCGATACATCGCCGACGTCGACGCCTCGTCCGCGCGCCGCCCGCCGAGGCTGCACGCCGCCGCGGCCGAGGCGCCGCCGGCAGGCCCGCCGCGGCGCTGGCCCTGGCGCTCTCCGCGGCCGCCGCGCTCGCCGGCGCGGGCAGCCTCTCCGACGCGGGCGCGTTCGCGGGGCTCTCCCGCAGCGGCTCCCCCGGGGGAGTGGCAAGAGCCTGTCTCTTAGATTCGGGCAAGGTTTACTTTCACGGCGTTCGCCCCCCTCCCCCCCCCCACACCCCCCACCTTCCCTGTCCCTCCCCCTCGCCCCTCTCCAAGCGAATCTCTTAGCGCGCAGGTGCCTTTCGACGTTGTTGCTTTCGGCACGTGCAAGCCGTCTGCGGCTTGCTTCAGGTTCGACCCCCCCTCGTCCATGCAAGCAAACTTGCCGGAGTCTAAAAAGACAGGCTCAAAGTCGGGGGCCCCATCAAATGAGAAAGGACGGCATGCACATATAAGCTTGTGGCGCTCCGCGCGGATTCCTTGCATCCACGCCGGGCCTCCCCCCACCCGGCGGCGCCTCTGGCGCCGCCCCTGGCGCGCTCCGCGCGCCAGGGCGGGGGGTCCAGCGCAGATCCAAGAAATCCGCGCGGAGCGCCAAGAGTTTACGTTCATGCCGTCTCTCTTCTTCCTCTACCCCATCCTGCCGTCATAGGGGGATGCGAAGTCCCTGAAGACGGGACCGGGTGGGCACGAGCGGGCATCATAGCCGGCTCAAAATCAAGAGAAGCATCATAGCCTCATCAATCTAGATTGATCCACTCACGGATCCACTGCAATGGATTTTCATTGAAGTCATTCCGTGCGTAGCATGCTCTCCCCATCGGGTCATCACAAAATCACGACGGGAGGTGTTGCGCTCTCTTCGGCCTCACGGGGGCCCTCGCCATGGGCCCTGGGGCCGTCAACGCAACGACCCAGGGTGGGAAGCCGGTCCCAGGGAATGGGGCCAGGGTCGGGGGTCGACGTTGGACGCCCGAAATGGGTGCGGAAAGAATGGGCACAATGCCCAACAACAAATGTTGTCCCAAACCAACAGCGGCCGCTGTTAGGCAGGCAGCCGTCTGTCTCAACCAGACACGGGCCGCGGCGGCACGGACAGCGAGTCCTGCTCAAAATGAACAGGATCTGCTGTTGGGCATTGTACCCTTCTTTCCCTACCCATGTCGGTCGTCCCGAGACGTGATTTGATGACAAATCATGACATCGGGGTTTGGGCACTCAGGCGGGCCTACGGTCGGAGCGAGGTACAAGATAGATGTCAGTTCGGGGAGGGTACCCTGATGTTCTTCGTGTCTGTTGGATGCTCCTGGGCATCCTTGGGGAGAGGGTACCCTGGAGTGATCTTATGGGTTGGGGTGCTTTTGCCGGCAGAGGGTCTTATGCTCTTGAAGGGTGTTCTCTTCTGTCACTGGTCCGGCTGTGCAGCCCTCCTCGAGATCAGGGGCAAGCTGTCTCCAAGCCCCGTCGTCTCCCCCCGACTTCAGTGTTCGGCGGCGAGCGCAGCGCGGACCGCGTGGTCCGAAGAGAAGTCTGAGGTGCCAGTTTCGACGCGGTCACTTGCACTGGGGGTTCGGGGGCGCCGCCACGTTGCAGAACAAACTTGCGTTCGATTTCGCAGGTCGTAGGATGAGGACAAGTCGCTCCAGAGCGCCCAGGAACGGATTCTGAACATTCGAGAACTCTCTGAAATGGCAGCGGCGCCCGATACATATGAGGCGTTCCAAGAAAGGCCTTGCCTTCGAGGATCGAAGGAGCTGTCATCTCTTCCGCCGCGGAAGGCGGCGGAAGGGCGGCGGAAGGTCGGCGGAAGTAAAACGAGGCCGCCTCCGCCGGCGGAAGCCAGCGGAAGGGCGGTGGAAGGCGGCGGAAGTAAAAGATGCGCCCCCAAGAGATGAGAACGTGTTTTGGTTTTCGGGTTTCCGAATTCCACATGTGCCAGACACGCCATCCCTCAGCGATTGCAGGTTGATTCTCATCCGAAAGTGTCCTCGTCTGTGGTGACCACGCCGCGAGGCGAGTCGGGTCGGAGTGTTTTCGGGAGCTTTCGTTTTCGTTTCCGGGAGTTTCGGGATGTGTATTCCATGAGCTGTGCCTCGCCGAGGGCGGTCTGGGGGTGACAGAATCGTCCAGGGACCCCAGACCCCCTCGCGTCGTGAAAAAAAACACGACGGGAGGTTTTTCGCTATTTTCGGGTTCCGGGGGCCCTTCCCCGTTAAAGCACGATGCAGGATCCAGAACTGGTTCCCGGGAAGGGATCTGGACTTCTGGGGGCCACGTCACGAGAAGATGGGGGGGCCGCCTAAGAGCCGAGCGATGGCCCGAAGGCCACTGCGGGGACCCCACCGCGTGGTGGGTCCGTGGGGGCGCGGGGCCACCGCACGGCTTTCGGCCTCGGGTCGTGCTCCGAGGACACTGCGGGCGACCGTGGCTTTCGAGATTCCAGGGCCGTGAGGTGACGGACCGCGCGGTGAGGTCTCTTGGGATCTGGGGGCCACCACGCAGTGATTCCCCACACGGTTTGGGGGCCCCGCGATTTCAGGCTTCGGATTCAGATCACCAAAGATGTGATTGAGGAGGAAACGAAACGGTATACCGCTACGCTTCCCTCGCTCTCGCGTCCTTGGGCACCCTGGGACGCCCTCGTCGCCAGGGCTGGTTTCGTCCCGAAATCTTGGTCAGAACGCACCCCGGGAGAGGTCCGGGGAGCAGCGGTACCGTTACCTTTTGGTATCCAGGGGAGGGGGGGGAGAGCGAAGGATCGGGAGTGAGCAGGAATACAACTACACTTGAGAAAACACCCATCAGTGGAAGATTTGATAATTAACAATATGGATCTTGAGATCGATAATGAGATCTATAGTGGGATCGATAGTGAGGACGATTGTAGGGTCGATCGTGAGACCGAGAGTGACATCGATTCAATAAGATCGATCGTGAGATCGATCGCGAGATCGCTCATGCGATCTCTAGTGAGATCGCTTGTGAGATCGATAGTTAGATCGATTGTGAGATCGATGGTGAGATCGATAGAGAAGTGGGTAATGAGATCCATGGTGAGACCGATCGATAAGAAGGTCGACCAGGAACCCGGGAACCAGGAAACCTCGCCGCCCTCCAAAATCGGCCCGGAACCCAGAACCCGGGAACCCGGAACCGGGAACCGGGGAACCCAGCGTGCTACCAAAATCGGCGGGACATTTTCGCCAAATCCGTCAATTTCCGCGAGTACCCCTTCAGTGCAAGCACTGATTGGGGAAAAAGCCACTCGTCTAGCAATGGACTGGACCCTCGTCTTGCAACTGGGCGAGAGTCCAGTTCGGGATCCCCGAACTGGACTCCCGTTCGGGGGACCCGCCAACCTGCGGGTCCGCCAGTCGGCCAGCCAGTCGGTCTGAGCCCTGCGGTAGGTTCGTCGTGTCGACCGGCGGCGACACCGCCGCGGGCATTCAACGTTGAACGCCGTTGGCGACCCAGAATCGGTCGATGTTGAACGATCTGACGTTTCGGAAGCGGCCCATCTTTCGAGGTCGAGCGATCCGCGCGGTGCCAGGAACCAGCGAAGAAGCCGACACGACACGACCCTGCCGCAATCTTGCTCCCTGCCCCCCTTCCCCCCTGGCGCGGCTCCTCCTCGTGCAGTCTTCCCGTGGGCCTGCTCCCTCTGCTCAGGCAGTGCCGCACGCGAGGTGGGCGTCGCCCGCTGGTCCCGGCAGCATGGGCAGTGGCGCAGCGTCAAGGATAAGACGTTGGCCGAGTTTCGTGGCATGACCGAAGAGGACGAACGGGCATGAGCCGAGGGGGAGGATGAGGCCGTGAGGTGCTGCGGCCGAGGAGGGGGAGGAGGGGGAGGAGGAGCAGGAGGAGGAGGAGGAGGAGGAGGAGGAGGAGAAGGAGCAAAGGAAGCCAGGAGATCCTGTCGATGGCAGGGTGGGGTGATGGAGAAGGAGGGAGGGGTGGAAGCACAGGAGGGACGGGATGGCGTCGGGGAATCTCCGTGGATGCGGCGGAGGAAGGAGGGGGAGGAGAGGGAGGATGAGGAGGAGGAGGAGGAGGAGGAGGAGGAGGAGGAGGAGGAGGAGGGGGAGGATGGGGATGATAAGTAAGGATGATGATCAGGACGAGAAGGAGAAGGCGGAGAAGGACGAGGAGAAATAGGAGGATGGAAATGAGTAGAAGTGGTCGTAGGAGAAGGAGGGGGAGGAGGATGAGGGGGAGGAGGAGGAGGATTGTGACGACGCAGGATGATAATGATGATGATGATGATGATGATGATGATGATGATGATGATGATGATGATGATGATGATGATGATGATGATGACGATGACGATGACGATGACGATGATGATGATGATGATGATGATGATGATGATGATGATGATGATGATGATGATGATGATGATGATGATGAGGAGGAGGAGGAGGAGGAGGAGGAGGAGGTGGAGGAGGAGGAGGCGACCTTCCTCCTATTCCTTTTCCCCGGTCTCGCACTTCATCCTACTCCAGCTCGTCCTCGTGCCTGTTCTATCTTGGTTGTTCTTTCTCTCCTCCTCGCTCCTCCCGCCTCCTCATCATCGCCCTCCTTTCCTTCCGTCCTCCTCCTCCTTCGTCCTACTCCTCCGCCGCCACGTTCCTTGCTTTCCTCGTCAACAGTCACCCAATATGAATACGTACTACTAGTTTGTGTTCTCTCTCTCTCTCTCTCTTCTGCTGCCGTGCCTGGCTATCCTGCATATGGTGGTTTACACAAGATTGTTCCGAGTTGGCGTTCGGTATGGATTGTTTCGCATTCGAGCGCTTTCGGTCCTTACAAGACGGTGCCCCCGCTGCAGCGCTGGAGGCACTTCAGGATCGGCGCTTTGCACCCCCCGGTCTTATTTGTGCCAGCCGCACGTCATGGTACGATTCATTCCTCGTCGTTGCCACTCCCTCCTTTTCCCTCCTCCGCCTTTCCCTGTTGCTTCTGCTTCTCTCACTCCTGTTCCTGCTGCTCCTCCTTGTTCGTCCTTGTCATTATGCTCTTCCTCGTGCCCATCCGCTACCACCCCTTCATCGTCCAGCGTACACACCATCATGATTGCGCGTCACGCGATGGGGTCACTCCGAGGATCAATATCATCTAGGAGACCCTAGCCGGCAGATTTAACGTAATTCAGCGCATTCGGGATGGATGAGTGGGAGGTGTAGAATGCCAAAGATGGCGCGAGCGCAAGTAGTTTGTCGATCGCCTCCTCTTCTGTCCTCTCTTCCGCCGCGCGCGGCTGCGGGTGGGAAGAAGGGTACGAGAGAGCAGAGGTGGTGGTCAGGATAACGAGGATGAGGAGGGATTTCCTCCTCTATTGCTGAATCAACCTGCTGCAGGAAGCGGCCGCAGTAGTGAACACCTCCCGATTGCAATGCGCAGCCAGCCGCCCGACATGTGAATCAGGCCTCCTGGCTGACAAGGAGGATGAAGAGGGTGGCATCCTTTGTTCCGGAGGAGACGCAATGCATCGTCGATTCGTGGGAAGAGATGGAGAGTGGAGGGGAAGACGAACATCCAGAACAGTTTAGAACATATAAAGGGATCCTGGTATGTGTGTCTTTTCAATTGTGCCCCTGGGCCCCGTCGTCCTCGTCTTCCTGCTCGTCCACGCTTGCTCACTTTCGGGCTCCACAGGCCCCACCCCTGCCCTCGCCCACGCCCACGACAGACCCTCCCACAACCTCCTCTTCCCTTCCCCACCCCCCCGCCTCTCTTCTCCTCCCTCCTCTCTCTTCTCCCCCTCCTCCTCGTCCTCCCCGCCTCCCCCTCTCTTTTTTCCCTTCTCCTCCCCCGCGCTCCTCCTCGCCCCTCCTCGCTCTTCACGCCCTTCCCGCCCTTCCCTCCGTCGCCCCTCTCCCCGGGCCGCCCGCAGGAGCTCAAGCAGGTACGGACGGATCAGAGGGCCGAGAGATTCCGGCTCCGGCTGCAGTTCAAGGCCGACCAGAGCGGGAACACCGCGGACGCGCCCGCGAAAGACCTGTGCAAGTGCCGCGAGGAGGAGGGAGGAGGAGGAGGAGGAGGAGGAGGAGGAGGAGGAGGAGGAAGAGGAGGAGGAGGAGGAGGAGAAGCAGGAGGAGGAGGAGGAGGAGTATAGGAGGAAGGAGTGGGAGAATTGTGATGGTGGTGTTGATGGTGATGGTGATGATGGTGATGACCATGATCATGTTCATGATGCTGATGCTGATGGTGCTGATACTTCTTCTGATGTTGATGATGATGCTGGTTTTTATGTTTAGGATGATGACCATGACGATGATCACGATCATGATTATGGTTTTGATGATGATGAGGAGGGGGAGGAGGGGGACGAAGATGATGATTGTGGTGTTGATGATGATGGTGGCGATGGTGATAATAGTGGTGGTGATGATGATGATGATGGTGATGGTGGTGGTATGATGATAATGTTGATGCTGGTGGTGTTGATGATGGTGGTGGTAAGGGGAGGAGGAGCAGTGGGGGCTTGAGGCGAGGGGGGATTATGATGTGATGCTGATGATGATGGTAAGGAGGAGGATGATTATGAGGATGATGAGGATGAGGATGAGGATGTTGATGATGAGTAGGACGATGCTGTTGATGATGGTGATGATGATGTTGCTGATGATGGTGTTGACGATGATGATGGCAGTGCGGAGGAGGAGGAGGAGAAGAAGGAGAGGAGGACCATAGTAAAGCCAGGACTCCAACGATGCTGCAATGCACCCTCCTGTCCCGCATCCCCAGTTGACTTAGTTACACCCGTGCCATGCCTGAGCCTCATTTGCTTCATTCTACCAAAGCAATATTGGCTTCGGTCGCCGAAGAGAGCGTCGGCCCGCCCTCCCGCGCGCCCGCCGGCCGGCCGGCCCTCCTCCGAGCACCGTGACCCTAGCCATCGCTTAAGAGCGCAACGCAACACCGCGCCGTGGCCACAAGGATTACGTCACCGATACATCGCTCGCATTTGAGTCTAGAACTGCTAGAAAATGTTAGCATTCAGACAACTACACGCTTTGCCGTTGCATCCGGATGCGAAAGCTCCCTTCCTGACGGAGAACAGGCAGAACACTTGTCAGCAACCGAACTTTCTATCACCGGCGAAAGCGATGCCATCATGTAAGGAAACCGCGTTTCTACCTTCATTGGATGATGCACGAAACAATGGGAACCAACGCCACGGCCTAGGTGCGAACGTTCCTGGAGCTGCTTCAACCGACGATGTCGGGGAACAAAGTCAAGGTCACCATTCAAAGATCAGCTGGAATATGTTTTATGGCGATGGTCATCGCCCGGTCACCCAAAAAAACAAATACGACAATGAGCCCGACTGGCACGAGGGCGACGAGCAGACGCCATCACCAATCGCCGGTCAACCTGACGTTCCAATTGATGACAAGCACGTGGCGTCCATTTTGTCAGAGGAGAACTTCCCCCGCAAATCGACGCCGAAACCGATTGCCTACGATTACGTTTGCCTGTCCCAGAAAGAGGAGGACGAGGCCCATGACATCAGATCTCCTGCTCCGTTGGCCGACCATCTGCCTCCAACGCAGGTGCCCCTCGCCCACGCCGAGGAGGCTGCGATTGCCTCCGACGGCTCGCTAGAACGGGGTCTCGAGGCCATCGCGGAGGATCAGCCTGCGGGCAGCCCAGTCAGGGCCGCAAGCAAGCAAAGGCGCGAGACGGTCAGCTTTTCAATGGCGCCACCGCTTAGTAGGCGGATGAGGTCCGACGGCTTTCCCGAGGACGGGCCTGTGAGGGCTCCGGGGGGGGGGTCCTGTAGCTGCGCGCCAGGGTCTTCCCCGCGTCCATTCCAGCTCGGCCATCGGCCATCGGCTACGATGCCAGAGACGCCAGACCCGCGGACCCGCTGTCCCCATAAGAGGAGCACGGAGAGGGGCAGACCGAGAGCCCTGAGGCAGCGTTCGGAAGCGTTCGACTTATCTAGCCTACCGGGTCGGCCGAGTGCGCCCAGCGCGCGCATCGACGAAAAGTGTGATCATGTTGGGCTGCAGTGTACCGCGGTTCCTGAGTCTCGGCGCCCTGGTGCGTTGGGCCAATGCAAGAAGCCCCTCTGCCATGGGCGATCGGTTCTTTGTGGCCTCTTTAAACTGAACTTCCTCGACGCGGCATAGCTGCGCAAGCTTGCGCGCGAATGAGCGGCGCCAAGCCGAAGAGAAGGAGAGGGGGGCCGAGATCATGGAGGCCAGAGAGAGAGAGAGAGAGAGAGACTTAGCTGAGATGCGCGAACAGCTTCGACAGTCAGAGTTACACCAACAAGCTGCCGCTACCCTCCAGCTTGAGCGAGACCGCGAAGCTACGGCGAGCGCCGTGGGATTTCTTGAGGGGCGCCAGCAGGCGGCGGCCGCCGAGCAGGCCTTGGCGACGACGACGGAGATGAGGGAGCTCGCCAATTGGCTGGAGGCAGCGGTTGCATTTGAACGCCATGCGCAACTTGTGGAGAAGCACGTCGACGAAGAAGCCAGGCGCGTCATCGAGCGGGCCGGCGAAGCTCAGCGCGCGACTATGTCGCAGGCGGCCCAGGAGTTTCTCTGGCAGCTGAAGATCGGAATGCGCGCTCGGTCGGAGGCGGCCGCTGCCGCCGCGCAGTCCGAGGCGGATCGCGTCGTCGCCGCTAAAAGTCGCGCTCGTTCTGCAGCTGAACTACAGCGCGCAGCCAGCTGAGGCGCGCGCCAAGGAGAAGGGCATCGCCGGCGCTCGCGAGGCAGAGCCGAAGGCCTCGCGGGCAATGCGGAGCCGGGAAGCCGAGCGCGGCAATCTATATCGCAAGCTTAGCAATCACCAGATACAGTGGGACCGGATTGGCGCGTCCTCTGCAGCGTCACCGGGGGTTGGGTCGACTGGGCCCAAGCGCAGCCGCCGCGCGGGCCCCTCCGCAGCCGGCGCAACCCGCGGTAGGAGACCCGCTTCGCAGAGGCGTGGTGCGCGACGCCCTAGCGCGGGAGCGCCGCGGTGCCTCGCGCGCCCTAAGGCGGCGTCTCGAGACGGCGACGGCACGTCGTGCAATGGGGGCGTTTGCGATGATCACTTCGTCCTAGAAGACGAGATGCGCGCGCGCGCTGCCGCGGCGAAGAGGCGACGCGGGGAGACGGCGCAGCGGAGAGAAGGCTCCAGAGAGAAGATTGCGAGGAACGCGAGGCGAGAAAGAAGCTTGAGGAACGGATCGCCGCTGCCTCTGCGCCAGGGGCTGGCCCCTCTGACAACCCGCCACAGCCTGCGTCTGCCTGCCGATGCGCCTCGGGGGTGGATGAGGCGGGCGGAAAGCGCTGAGTCAGTGAGGCTGCTCGAGTTCGAACAGGCCGCGTGGTCCGAAAAGAACATCTCGAGGAACTGCTCGAACAGGCTACGCAGCGGGAAGAGGGCCACGCCTAGTCGCAGGCCGAGCGCAAGGCGAAGATTCAGGATATGCGCGAACAACGAGCCGAAGCGGCTTCTGCGGCACTGCGGCAGACCCAGGAAAAGGAGAGCAAGGCTGAAAATGACGCTCGAGGGCAGAGGAACATGAAAGCCCACCCTGAGCCAGCGCGAGTTCGCATTGGAACCTTTTTGTTTCGGGATGCACGCCGCCGGGCCTGGGGGGCTCGTCAAGCATCTCCAGGCAGAAGGACAAGAAGGATGAGGCAGTTCCCGCGAAGAGGGCACCAGCACCGAGACATCCAGGTTCAGGTTACAATGGCGATGGTCGCGGAGATGGCGATGACGACGATGAGGATGACGAGGACTGCTATCTTGAAGACGAATGCCGAACCCCAGATGAGGGAGGGGAGTGCGGTTCTGACCGCCGGCGTCGGCGCGGCGGAGGACCACCTGGCGGCGACCCGTCTGGGGGCGGCGGCGACGGTGGGGCCCCCGTGCTCTTGATGGACGCGGCCCCCGCCACTGTGCAGCACTGGAATGACGCCCGTGCAATTAGGAAAGTAGTCTTGGAAGCGATCCCCAACGCCGCCAACTATAAGCGATGGCCGCGCAATGTGGTTGGGGCTGTAGTATCAGCATCGCCAAACTGCGTGGGATCTGTTAATTGGGGTAGCGGCGCGGACGCGTTCCGTCTCAAGAACATTAAGGCAGACGAGTTGAGGGGCTCTGTCCACTTTGTCTGGCTTGACTCAATGATCGCAGCGGACCTCGTGGCAAAGGTCAAGCATGAAGTGCGGGATAGACAATCCTCATCTCAGCTCCGTCACCTGGCGAGTGAGGTAGAAGGGTTAGACATATCCACGCAAGCCGCCTGGAACATTCCGAAGGGTCGCGGGATCCGGCGCATCTTTGCCGCCCGCGCGACCGCCCGCCACGGCCGCGGCCAGGCGCGCGCGTGGACCTTATGGAGATTGAGATCCGCGGTGCGGTCAAGGAAGCAGATGGTGACCGGGTCCACTTTTAGGGCGAGTGGGTGAGGGCGCTCAACGAGATGGTTGTTATACAGGAACATGTCTATCGGCAGATGCAGAAGTGCCCTTGCCTGCAATGCGCACTGGTGATCTCTGATCATTGCAGCGACGAGTGCGGCACTCGAATGGAGACCCACGAGCGGTTGCCGTTGAAGGTCAGCGATTTCGCGCGCGAGGAGCGCGGGCAGATCAACCGCGAGAAGCAGTGGAGAAAGCCGAACAACCGCGGCCCGCGGGGGGTGGCGGAGGGGGCGAAAGCGACGGCAAGGGCGGACATCATCTTTACATGAAAGATGGTCGCCTAAAGAAGTCGGTTCCTGCGACAAGTTTCTCCAGGGCAAGTGCCAGTGCTCCCGAGTTCAATTTCAATGCCTGCGCCCGAGAGGAAGTGGTGGCCCTGCCGCTCCGGCGCCGGTCGCGCTCTCTCAGGCCGGCAAGGGCGGCGGCGGGGGCAGCGGGAAGAAGAAGAAGGACAGAGAGAAAGGATGTGGAAAAGGGGGAGATAAAGAGCGCGGCAGGAGCGCGGAGCGCCTCGCTGACCGATCCAAGGACGGCGGCAAAGACCGAGACCGATCGAAGAGCCGCTTTTCCAGC